CTAAGTGTTTTTCCGTATTTGTTTAGATATTAAGCTATATGTTGTTGCTAAAAGCCTAATTAAAGTTTAAGATATAGTGAAGTCTTGTATCAAGTAAAGCCTAGTAAATTTAGCAAAGCCTTGAAGTAGTAAAGCCCTGTGGCATAGTTAAAATTACCTTATCAAAAGAATACAAGCTTGTACTGCTATTAGTCAGTCTAAAAACAGTTGAAGTAAAAAGAATCTGAGTAGTTGTATGTTATCAGTACCATTCAAAAGCTTTAAATGGGCTAGAATATCCAGAAATCATTCTGAAAGAAGATACAGCTCTATGAAAAAGATTAGTTAGCTGTTGCCTAGATCAGTGGGCCTGTAGACCTCGAAGAGCCCAAGAACTGCATTCCAGGGTTCTTCCCAGTACTTCTCAGATAGCGCTGATCAGGAAAACCTGACTTCGCTGACCTTTGTAGAAAGAGAAACTTGCTGTGCATCAGGCATCAGAGGAGACTGCCGATAAGTTGCCGACGTGAATTATTTTTGTCTGTCATTGTTTGTTTTGTTACTATGCGTAGTTATGTTTTTGTTAAGTCAATAAACCTTTCTTACCTTTCTACCCCCGACCATATTCTCAATCCCGAACCCTCCGCAAGCAGCTAAGACACCCTTCTTGTAAATGGAGACCACATTGGCCCTTTTCCAATCCTTTGGTATCTGACCAGTGCCCCACAAGCACTCATAGAGCCATGCCAGGGCCCCGCTATAAACCCCGCCAATTCCCTCAGCACCCTCGGGTGAAGAGCATCTGGACCTACTGATTTAAACACATCCAGCCCCTCCAAAAGTTCCCTAACTGGGTCATCCCTGACCCTAGGCATGGTGGTGCTTCCTCTAGGTCTGTCTGCAATTCTAGTGGGGGAGATGTCCCTGTCCCGGTCCCTGTTCAGGAGTACGGAGGCAAAGTATTCGTTAAAGGGGTCAGCTTTTTCATTTCCCGCAATCACCAGATTACCAAGCCTATCCTGTAGGGGCCCCACATTACCCGGTGTCTTCTTCTTACTTCCTATATATTTGAAAAAGGACTTTTTATTATCCTTAATTCTGGTCACTAGCCCTAGCTCCTTCTCTGCCTTGCTCTTCCTAACAGCCTCCCAGAAGTCCTGAGCAATGGAGGTGTAATCCTCCTTGGTGATAGCCCCTTGCTTCCACTGTTTGTATGCCTTCTTTTTTGCCCTCAGGCATCCCTGGATGCCTTTGCTGAGCCATGCAGGCTTCTTAGCACTCTGCTAAGTGCTTCCCTGCTTGGTGCACATTGGGACTGACTCCCTTTGAGCTCAGAGGATCGTCTCCTTGAGGAACGTTCGACTCCCATCTCATTGAAGCTCCAAGACCCCAATGCCTTTCCTACTAACCTTCTTAGCTTACAAAAGTTGGCCCTTCTGAAGTCGAGGACTTCTACCTTGCTACTTGCTTTCATCACCCTGCGCTGGATAGTAAATTCCAGTAGGCGATGATCACCGTCACCCAGGTGGTTGAGTACCCGCAGACCCCTCACCAGGTCATCGCCTGTGGCAAGGACAAAGTCCAGCAAGGCATTTCCCCTGGTGAGACTACACACCTCCTGGGTTAGGTGGAGGTCCTGTATCCTGGCTAGGAACCTACGTTAGCAGTCAGACCTGGCTGACTGCTCCTCCCAACAGATGTCTGGGTAGTTTAGGTCACCCATGACAACCACATCCCTTGAATGTATAGCCTCCGTGAGCTGACCTGAGGATTCCAGGTCCAGCGCATCCCCCTGGTGAGGAGGTCTGTAGTAGACGCCCATTATCAAGTCCCTTTCCCCACGCACCCCTTGCATTCTTATCCAGAGTGCCTTATTTTGCCCCTTCTCTAACCCCATCCTGATCATTGAGGGCATGTATTGCTCTTTGATGTATAGTGTTACACCCCTACTCTTTTCCCTGCTCTTTCTCACCTGTACAGCCTGTATCCATTGATGTCTACTGCCCAGTCATGGGTAGAATCCCACCAGGTTTCCATGAGCCCCATTAGGTCTGGGTTTTTGCTAACTAGCAGGAGGGTGAGGGGTGAGTTCCTCCTGCTTATTCCCCATGCTTTGAGCATTTGTGTAGAGGCATTTGAGGCCTGCTGTAGGTGCCCGTGCCGCCCCCTTGTTCCTAAGCCTGCCCTGGCCCCTGTCACTTACCTGGGTATTACCTGTGTGCATTATGTGGCTTGACGGCGAAGTGTCCTCATGTTCCTCTGCGTCCCCATCCCCTGGCGAACCTAGTTTAAACCTAGTTCTATTACGGGTGTTGAGGGTGGACTTGATGGTGACAGCTGAGACCTCAGATTCATAGTTGAGTAAAGTCTTGAAGTGCTCTTGCTTGATGCCTACTTTTAGCAGCCCCTGGAGGAATAATGACTAACTGGATTCAGTTGCTTGGGTTTTCCCCTCCATGACAGTTTACCATTATCCACATTATTCTTGTCATTTGTTAACTGGAGCCAGGTGGTAGAAGTTTTTTTTTATGCTCAGGATGCTTGCAGGGTGGCCCTCCAGGCCTCACCAACAACTGGAGTCTTTCTCACCTTCTTCCTCTGACTGGCCTGTGCAAGAAAAGGAAGAGCATACGGCTACAGATGTTAAATGTACGAGAGAGCAAAAGTACTACTGTTTCTTTGCTGTGGCCTTCAATTTTATTTCCTCACTTGCTCTGCTTTGGGGACCAGCCCTGTAGCTTTCGAGTTAGTTAGCTGGAACCTAGAGTTCTGGATAGTCAACGTGGTCTAGTCATCTTGCCATGGGCATTCTTTAGGTGTTAAGTCATGGTGAAAAGTTTAGTCTTTGACCATCAATTTCTCCAGGTCAGTATATTGCAACTGCTCATTAGATGTTCTTCCAGCAGCAGGAAAAATGAGACATCTGTGGAGCCATGCAAGGAAATTTTAGATGACAGTTTTCCTGTTGAAGTAATGGGGAGGAGCCCACAACCAACAAAAAATATCTCCACATCTTCATGACAATCACTGCAGAGTTCTCTGAATTTCACAAATATTCTAGACAACAACCTGAGAACTCTTATGGCTTTTGACCCAAAAAACAAAGCTGCTTTCACATTTTATCAGAATAAATTCTGAGGCCCAAGTCTGAGCTGGCCTCAAGACAAAATGGCTGGAAGAGCAGGAGAAGCAGGTAAGGAAAGAGCACTTACCTCCAGCCAGAACTTCAGATATTCCCTTCCTACCTCTCATCCTCTGACTACAGCTACATTCATCCTCCTCCGTCCCCCACCCCCACCTGTCTCTCACCTACTGACCACCTCAATTCACTGACTGGCTTTTTTGCATATGTACTGGCCTCTGGCTGATTTTCCACTCCATCCAGGAAGAGCACAGACCATCTGCAGATGCTTCCTCAGCCCAAAAGCTTGCTTGTTTGTGCCCAAAAGCTTGCTAAGAAGAATTTTTCCAACTATTTGAGTTTGTCTAATAGAAGATATCAGATTTACCCAAAGAACCATGTCTGCCTATGTCCTCAGTCCAGCATGGCTACAACTACACCCCTGAGATATTCCCTTCTGCGCTTCCATTTCCTCTTATGCCTGCTTCATGCCTCTCAGGTTTGTGGGGGTGGGCAATTTTTCCCAAGGCTGAGGAATTCTATCAGGAACTAAGACGAAAACACAGTCTTTGGACTGATGAGACCAAGCCCAGGGTCAGCTCTTCTTTCTCAGATACTTTCCTTCAGAGTTGTGTAGACCAGGAGAGAGAAACAGGTATAAACTGAATGCTCTGTTTGCTTGGAGTCTGGACCCTTTATAACTGAATGGTCTCAGCCTGTCAAGACTAGCCTTGCCTGGCTGTCACAAGTGACTCAGCTTTGCCCTGATTTATCATCAACCCCATCTAAAGCAAGCCCCTCCCCAGAGACTTCCTTTCAGCCTCTGGCAGTGTGATACAGGTCAAGTGACAACAATTTGCTTTCAGTCATTTACTGCTTTCAGTATTTTCAAGGTGCCTTTTTTTGCCTTTAGCTGCCTATGTGTTTGCCATTGTAATACTGGCTTAATCAGGTTAAGGAGAATGAGAAATAAGAAGGCTTGATTGAATTTCTTTCTTTAGAAAAGTCCTTTAATAATTGTCTTAGAAGATCTTCTTCTAGTTGGGATTGGATACCCTGCTGTGCTCTCTAGAGTTGGTAGTGATTGATGTTGCAGGATTATGGGTCCTTTGTAAAGTGTTAGAATAAGGATGGAGTTTCATTAGGCTTACCATACATCCAGGTTTTCCTGGACATCCTCTTTTTTGGACCCCTGTGCTGCGTCCAGGTGAGTTTTTAAAATAAGAGCTGTCTGGGTTTTCTGTTCTCCCGGGCCAGCTGCTTGGGTTTGGGAGCAGCAGGCAAGGTGACTGGCTGTCGGGGGGTCATGTGCTCCCTGCATGGGCTCTAGCAAGCCAGGTAGCGAGAGAGAGAGAGAGTGTGTGTGCATGTGCGCACAATGCATTGGCTGCTTGGGCAACAGGGCTGAGCGGGGGCAGAAAGGTGCAGGTCAGGAGTGAGGGGCACTGGCAGGGCTGAGAGGGGTGCAGGGGGCTACAGATCAGGAGTGAGGAGCACAGGGGCTGGGATGGATGACTGTGGGTTAAGTGTGCAGGGCACTGGCAGTGCCAGAGGGCTGTGGGTTGGGAGTGAGGGGCACCAGCAAGGGGTGGGGGGCAGGATACTGCTGTTTGGGAGTGAGAGGCACTGGCAGGGCTGGGGGCAATGGGTCCAGAGTGAGGGGCAGCAGCAGGGCTGGGGGTGTGTGGCTTGTCAGTGAGGGGCAACAGAATGGGCAGGGGAAGGGCACTGTCATGTTGCTGCTCCCTTCCCCCCACCTTAGTCTCCCTGCATCTCTCCCCCCTCCCCCCACCCCCCACCAGTGACAGGTGTCCTCTTTTTTGGGCCTGGAAATATGGTAACCCTAGAGTGGCAGTCCTAGTGTTCATTGTCACTCCTCTGTCTCCTCCATGTTTTGTAGAAGCTGATTGAAGAAGAGTCTGTGCAGTTGCTGTCTACCCCTGTGCGCCAGCAGGCTATGATTGTGGTCACTAACCTGAGGTACTGTGGAAGTTCAGCATTCACATTTCATCCCCATATCACAGGTCAATACTATAGCAAGCAAATGGGTTCCTGATGCTTGGAGTTTGCCAATCCTTGTTTTGGAGGCAATATGAATACTTCCTGGGTTTTTTGCTTAACCATTTTGCTTTATCCTGCAGTCAGTGAGATTGAATCCAAGTACTCAATAAAGTGATGAGTTTCTCTGTGGGGAACTCACCTTGACAGATTTTTTTAAAAATTAAAATACACTGTAGTACTTTAGATTTTCCAGTGAGTTTGTTTTAAAGTTTTGGTCATTTCTGCAATAGGTACTGTGGGGTAGGTGGCTAACAGTGCCTGATGGACCATGTTGAGAAGTCAGTAAAAGAGAACACACTGGAGATACTGCATTTATTCAGATTCTACTCTTGTTTTCTTAGATATAAAGATCAACATATGGATTTCAAAGGACAAACTAGTATTACAGCTACAGTAGGAGCCAAATTGTACTTGGCACCTTTGAAGCTGTGCAAAAATCTCATTCCTTAGCATTCCCCTGCAAAAGCACCAGCCAAAATTACAATAAACCCTTTTTTAACACTTAAATCTTCTGGAGTATGAATTGCCTCCAAGAAGGCAAGAAAGAGGTGCAGGCAGAATCCTAGTCTGAAAGCGATGTGGAGCAATAGCTTTGCTCCATGTGCTTTGGGCATTTGTACTATTTTCTAGCTACTATCAGTTGATTGGACATCCTTCAGGCTGCTCTAATATTTTCTGGGTCCAAGGCCAGGCAGAAAATAAAAAAGATAACCACGTTCTGCAGAGCAGACACTTGACATGATAAAGCAGTGATTCTCAACTAGGGTGCCATGGCCCTCTTTGAAGGGGGTCTTGAGGTGTGAAGAGATAGCAAAGTATAAGGAGATAAGCAGATAACCTAAGCAGATAAGTGCAGGCTCAGGCTTGTCTCTGCCTGGATGATTCTCCACCTCTGCTACTCAGCCCCTCTGCAAGGAAGTAGGCACTGTAATAAAGTAGTTTTGAAATTGGGTGTCACTCAGTTCATAAAAGTTGTGGAATCAAATGGGTGCCTTGAGTCCAAAAAGCTTGAGAACCACTGCAATAGTCTTAACCAAAGTTTGATATTGGTGAAACAAATTGTTTTTGTAACACAGTTGGATAGAATCCATGCTAATTCATGCCTCTGGGTGCAAAGTAGTCATTCACAAAATGTCTGAAGAAAGTGTCACAACCATTTGAATAGTAATTAATCTTCTGGCATTTTAAAGTGCTGCTGGATTATATGGTGTACAGCATGTGCTGCATTAATTTAGCTGCCATTCTGCTAAGTGTTAATACATTGAGCTTATAATATATTTCACTTTTTGACAGGGCTATTGAAATATGTTGATTACAAATAAAATTTTGTTAAAAATGCAATGATCAGTTTAGCAGAGGAAAGTGGTTTCAAAGCATTTTAAATAGGTGTACTTTTGAGAACTAAAAAATTGACAACTCAGTGCATATTTAAGACAGGATTTTAAGCATTAGCTTAAAGTATTTAACATCTACTAGTAGTGGTCCAAGAAAATTTTATGCTTGTATAATCTGAAAATTTAAAACCTCTATTTTGGCAGCCAGTAGAGAGTGATGTAATTGTGGACGCTTGCATAAGCTTGACATTTTCCATGTAGTTTAGGGCAGTGGTATATACTATAAAACATGCACAATGTAGAATGACAAACAGACTCATAACCACTATATGCTATACTGTACAAAATTGGACCAGCAAGCTAGATGAATATTCAGCATTCATAGATTCATGGATATTTGGGTTGGAAGGGACCTCAGTAGATCATTGATTCCGACCCCCTGCCCTGCGTAGGAAAGA